ATGTGGACATGTGGCCCATGTCCCTGGGACTTGGGGCCAGGGGTCTAGCCTTGGGCTCCACTGGCTTTCTCTAAGATGAGAAGGGGTCTTTGCACTAATCCCTGAGCAGGGAAAATGGAATGCACTGCCCTACACCAGGCTCTGTAGAGGCACGTCCCCATCCCATCTTCAACCTGGAAAAACTGCAAGGTGACAGCACTAGCCCCATTTCAGAGAAGGGAAAGTTGAGAACAGCAGGTGCATATTCCTGGTAGTGTATAAACCACACCTGGGGCCAGCCACATCTAAACTCATACTCTCCTAGCCTCTCCATTTAAGATGCAGAGCCCCCATCACGTCTGCCCCCCCAAGGTTTCCACAGGTACAGAGCCCCTTCACCTCTGCCCTGGACCCTTCGTTCGCCCCCATGCTGGGCCCAGGAGAGGCCGAGGGCCCCTGGATGGCTCACGTGTTCCTTGCTCCCATGTCACTGTCACCACCAAAGCTGCCCAGGACTCCAGCCCTGCCCATTGCAGGGTTCAGGAAAATTGTCTCACTTCTGCCACTACCTTGAACTACTCACACTTCCTGGCTCCAGCCAGGACAACGCTCCATTAAGAGAGCTGGACCAAGCATTGGTACCAGGAGGCCAAGCCAATTATCCCTCACATCTGAATCTCTCCTATTTCCAGAGTGTTTTACACTAATTAGTTAGTGCTGTTAGCTCTGAGGGTTAGTAGCTTCTCTAACGAGACACAGTGACATTAAGTTACTTTCCTAATTATGTAAAACATGAGAACAGAGATAGGAACATGAACTCCCTTGTGCGATTCACATGGGGTCTGCCAGCCTCGGTGCCCACCCAGTCTGTATCCCCAGTCCTGAGGGGACACAGAGTTCTGAGGTCCTGCTGGGGACAGATGGCACACCCTGTCTGCCGAGAAGGACGTCTTGACAGTACTATATGGCGGACCCGTCCTGGGCGCCACCCAAACCTGCACTCGCTCGACCCCTCATGTCACTGCCCTTCTTGTCAGAGGCTCTCTTCTGCCTAGAAGCTGCCCTGTTACAGGTGACCTCTGACATAGCATCGTTAGGAATTGATGAGATGGCGGGGGGAGGGTTTGTCACATGTTAAATGACACTGATGAAGAGAGAATGCTGATTCACTATTGGAAAAAGCCCCTCAGAAAACACAGGCTGGGCAGGTGTGAGGCCGGTCAGATGTAGTCAGTGTGTCAACCTCACATCCCCTCATAGAACACAGGCTGGGCAGGTGTGAAGCCGGTCAGACGCGGTCAGTGTGTGGACCCTGCATCCCTTCAGAGAACGTAGGTTGTGCAGGTGTGAAATCAGTCAGAAGTAGTCAGTGTCTTGACCCCACATCTCCTCAGAGAATGAAAGCTGGGCAGGTGTGAGGCCGGTCAGACGTGGTCAGTGTGTGGACCCTGCATCCTCTTAGAGAACGTAGGCCAGGCAGGTGTGAGGCCAGTCAGACGCAGTCAGTGTGTGGACCCCATGTCCCCTCAGCAGGCTGGGCAGGTGTGAGAGGCTCCATCTGAGGTGGTTGTTGGTATGGATCCTACATATCCCCTCATGTCCCAGGGTTGATGACCGCCATTCACTGCTCTCCTCTGATCAGTCTCCATCTGAAATGTCACCAGGAAGCACCCCACACATCTCCTGGGCTTACAACACCTGTTCCCACCTCATTCTCCCACCACCTCCTTTCCACTCTGCCTCCTTTTGCATGACTTGCCTTCTTGGTCCTACTCAGCTCCATGAGTTCAATTCCCACCTCTTTCAGGAAGCCCTCTTGGTTTTCTAGCTCTGTGGCTGTTCACGGACTGAGCCCCATGGCTCTGAGCAAGCACTACACTGCACCGCCTGCCTAACTGGAGAAGATGGCTCTGCCCCCATGACCTCATGGGGGTGCTTCCTGGCCGACCACCACAGGTGCACAGGACAAGCCTGATACAAAGGTGGGCGGTCAGGGGGATACTTACTATATGACTTGCCTGAATTTGCCAATGCCGTCTTCCTTGTACATGCACTGGGGCCCTTTCTCTTCACGGAGGAAAAAGGTGGTTTTATGATTACAAACAGAATACATTTTCACTGTGAATATTTAGAAAATGCTGCCAAGCATGAACAGGAAAAGGCAGTAACTCAAGCTGAGGTGCTCACTCTCACACCCTGCCAGGCAGACAGTCCGCTTAAAAACATACGGTACCAATGGACAGGTGGCTGAACACAGGGTCACGGGACATCGCTTTTCAAAGCAACAATTCCTATTTTCTTTTCTGGTCATGTAAGAAATACACACATTTTATAAAAGTCCACAGCACTAGAAAGTAAACAAAATCCAACCTACTCGCCCTGAGCAATCCTCCCGAAATTCTCCACTGTGATATCCCCAGTTGGGCACTGCGGGGAGTTCTCCCCCACAATTCTACACTGGTGTGTGCTGTTAGAAACACGTTCTGAGAAACAGATCTGGTCGTGGCTGATGTCTTAGCATGTGTTATCACCCAGGAGAGGTCACAGACCTCTTTCTATGTCAGTACCCAGATCTCTGTTACCGTTTCAATGCTGGGATTGCATGGGGTCATAGAGAAGCTTTGTGAGGTGTTCAGTCAATCCCATTTGTCAATCCCCAATTTGTGCATGAGGCATTTCAGCGGCTTTCCATTGGTCGCTGTTGCAAAGCCTGGCTATCCTTGTATATTCATGGACACAGCTCTGTAGAGGAGATCCCTAAAAGTGGATTAGTTTGGTCAAGTCACTAGGCATGTAACACCTTCATAAACACTGGCTAACTGCCCTCCAAGAAAATGCCAATGTGTCTACCAGCAGAATCTGTACTCAAAGGATTACAAAATCTTTTGCATTTTAAACCAAGAGCACAATAAAATGCCCTCTTCCATTTCAGTTTGCAATTTCCGACCACAAGGGAGGCAGACTGGTGTTCACAGGATCTGGCCATTCGTCCTTCTTCCTCTATGAACTGCCTACTCATATGCTCTTTTATGCGAAAAAGGGGAAGCCCCTCAACGAGATGGACTGACACAGTGGCTGCAACGATGGGCTCAAGCACAGCCAGGACTATGTCGATGGCCCAGGACCAGGCACCTTTCGTTCTACTGTACAGAGGGTCACTATGAGTTGGAACCAACTCCACAGCACCTAACAACACCACCACCACCACCACATTCTGGAAACTTTCTATTTTTCTTATTGATTTGCAGAAACTGTTTATATGTTATAGATACAAACGCTGTGCTACATGTTGCCACTGTTGTGGCCCGGTGTACCGTTTGTCTTTTGCCTCCAGCTGTGCTGCAGCAGTCAGGTCTGCCAGTCTCTTCCTTCATGGCTCCAGAATCCTTGCCAGGTTCTGAAACATAGCCTCTAACTGCAAAGTGGAAATCCACTTTTCCTATGTTATCATTTGATACCATAATCACTTAGAACATTTTGAAAGTAAGAAAAATGTTTTGATCTTTACTATCTCCCAAGTTATGTGACTTTTCAGGCAGAGATTTTTTTCACGTAGCTAACCAGTTGTCTTGATACCATTGTCCCCGCTGAAGGGAATTGTCATATTTATAATATTCTAGAATCCCATCTCTCTGTGGCTGTTTTGCGGCCCACCATGCGGCTTTGTGGATTGATTTTTTCTGCTTCTGTTCCAGCACATCACTGCCTTTGGGGAAGGAGGTGGTGCTGCGTGCTGTCAGGTTGGTTTTGACCATAGTGACCCCATGGACAAGAGGAAGCACTGTGTGGCCCCGTGCCATTGTGGCATTCCCACAATCATTGCCAGTTGGGAGCCCACTCCTGCAGCCAGTGGCTTCAACCATAGCAGAGGTTAAACAGGGTCAGCAAAAAACAAGGGAAACCCTCCACGAGACAGGCTGACACAAGAGCCACCACACTGGACTTGAACACAGCACCGAATTGGAAGTCGGCACAGGACAGGGCAACGTCCCGCTCTGTGCACGTAAGTCAGAGCTGACTGGGCGGCAACGAGCAACAACACTGCCGATTTATGACTTCAAGGTACGCTTTGGTATCAGTAGCATTACAAATGCACTTGGCTGTCCTTGAGCCAAGGTGTGTCTCCCTAGGCAGAGCCGGGCGTGGAGGTAGCACAGAGCCTGGCCAGGCCGGCTGGGATTACGGACTTTGAGTACATCTTGCTTTTTTTCTTTTTTTTATGTGGCTCATAAACGCCTGTGCAGTCTATTTCAGAGGGTCTGGCCAGGATGTCTGGTGTGTCATTGTCATGGAGGACAGCTCCTCTGGGTGACCTCTGGAGCTGCAGCACCCTGTGCAGGTGTGTCAGAGCCCAGGTGGAGGTTCCCGGTGTGTACAACAACCCACAAACCGCAAGCAAAACTCAATGCACCCGGGAGGGGATATTCATTCTTTCACACCCAGGGGTGGCTTTGGTCCCTGCTGTCAGCATTAGCAAAAGGTGACTCCGGAGTGTCACTCTGATGACAGTGAGTTGCAAGGGTACAGGGCAGAGAAAGAAACTCCCTGTCCTTGTTTGGGGTCGCACAGTCGGTTCCCACTCACGGTGACCCCGTGTGCAACAGACTGAAGCAGCACTGCCCCGACCTGCGCCAGCCTCACGGCACTGCTGTGCTTGAGCCCACTGCTACAGCCCCCGGCAGCCCAGCTCGTTCAGGGCCTTCCTCTTTTTCACTGAGCCTCCACTTTACCTGGCATGATGGCCTTCTCCAAGGACCAGTCCCTGCACAGTGAAGCCAGGTCTGCTCTTCTGCAGGTCAGGCCACTGGCGAGGCTGAGGGCATGTCCTGGGGTGATTCAGAAGCAATTCCCAGGCTTGAACAGGACCACCACGAGCTTGGGGGGTGCTGCATAGGACCAGCTCATGGTGACTTTGCAATAATTAATGACCAGATGAGCAGCGTTCTCAATTACGCAGATGAGGAAACCCCGGTTCCCAGAGCCACACACTTTAGCCAAGACACGGCAGTGGGGGTACGGGGCTACGGCTGGGCTCCTCTGTGCACCTCTCCCAGCTCGAGGTCCTCTGAAGAGGCCAGGCTCAGGTGGGTGACGGAGGGCCACAAAGGCTCTGCTCCAGCAGAGTCCAGAACCTGCGCGGTGGACCCAGCCGCCCGGCCGGCCTCCCGAAGCAGGGGGGCCGGCAGCAGCGGGCAGCCAACAGGGCTGAGGCAGCGCTGGCCTGCCGCACGTGTTCCCGTCCTCTCCTCGTGAAAATCGGCCTTCCGCATCTGAGAGCAATTTGCCTGCAGCGGTGGAATACTGGTCACACCGCATCCTGGCCCAGACGTCAGATGTTCGCGTGGAAAAGTACAGACCGCCACACACATCTCGGTGCTGCGATATTTAGAGCCGTCACTCTACAAGCCCAGGAAGGTGCACTTTACACGATGCCAAGTCTCAGCTCGGCGCGGGTCGTGGTCTGTGTGGGCGCCGGCTTCCCACTGAGGCCAGAGTCCCGGCGTGGCCTCCCCCCCACGTGCTCCCATGGCATCTCCATCCTGCAGCATGGTGGGCGGCCTTCAGCCTCTGGTTCAGTCACACTGAGGTCTGGATGCTAGTGTGCTAGGGAGCCAGGGCACTCAGCATTCGTCTGAGGATGCCACTGAGCCCTCACGAAAGCCCTCTCTCTCTCTCTCTCACACACACACACATGCACACACATGCACGCACACCCATGCAGAACCCTGGCTGCTCTTCGGGTCACAGGTGACGAGGGAGTTCCAGCCCTGCGGTGCCCTGGAGCTCTCAAGCCACAGGCCACGTGCAGACTGTTGAACGTCTCATGTACTGAAGACAGGTGGGTAGAGACACGGTCCTAATTTTCCTGCTTCTTGGGGAGAGAAGGGCAAGACTTCCAGTAAATATCAGGGATAATGCGACAGGTGGTTTGCATCAGTGCTATTAATAGATGATATTAATAGATCAAGTGCTGAGAAGCAAGGACGTCTCCTTGAGGACTGAGGTGCGCCTAACACAAGCCATGGTATTTTTAATTGCCTCGTATGCATGTGAGAGCTGGACAATGAATAAGGGAAACTGAAGAAAAGTTGATGCTTCTGAGTTGCAGTTCTGGTGAAGAATGCTGAAAGTCCAGTGGACTGCTAAAAGAACTAACAGATCTGTCCTGGAGGAAGTGCAGCCAGAATGCTCCTTGGAAGCAAGAATGGTCAGACTTCATCTCACCTACTTTGGTCATGTTGTCAGAAGGGACCGTTCCCTGGAGAAGGATGTCATGCTTGGTAGGGTGGAGGGTCAACGAAAGAGGGGAAGGCCCTCAACGAGATGGATGGACACGGTGGCTGTTGACAATGGCTCAAGTACAGCAGGGATCGTGGGGCTGCTGTGGGGTTGAGCGGTGTTTCGTTCTGCTGTGCACGGGGTCGCTATGAGTCAGAGACCATGCCACAGCACCTAACAACATAACAATGAGCACATCAGAGTCCCTGGGTGGCAGATGGTTAAGTGCCTGGCTACTAACTGAAAGGCTGGATGTTCAAGTCCACCCAGAGACACTTTGGCAGAAAGACCTGGGGATGTACTTGGGAAAAACCAGCCACTGAAACCCCAGGACATGGTTCCCCTTTGCCACATGGCGCTGTCTGGAGTCAGAAGTGACTCCACAGCACTGTTGTTTTTAAAGTAGATTCAGAATCACTTTGTTGAGAAAAAAAAGCATATTAGGCATAACTCGATTTTCACGTAAAATTATGCATGGTTTATTCCAACAAAATTAGACAGCTTAGAACTGAATGTCCCTTTACATCCAGGCTTCGGCCAATACGTCGCTCACGCTGCTGCCTCCCTCCCACTGCCCGCATTTCCTGAGGGCGGCTGGGGCCATGCTGCCCACCCCAGGCTCCTTGACTTCACCCTCCTCATCACTGGGAGATGGGGACATGGTCTCCCCAGTCTGCAGATGAGGGGTCCGAGGCTGAGGGAGGGCAGGCCCAGAGGCCCCTCCTGGCAAGCAGTGGGCAGATCCAGGTGCCCATGGTGCCACTTCGGTCACTGTGGACGCAGGCTGCCCCCACACAAGGGGCTGCAGCAGATTGCAAGACCCCGTCATGGGCAGCAGGTCACATGCTGTCCTGTCTCGGGGTTAGTGCCGTTCCCCGCTGACAATGCTCTCATTTCTACAAAAGGCGCTGAGGATTAGGGGCTCTCGGCTCAGGAACTGTGTGTTGCACCTACCTCCTGTCTTGACCCGGAAGGATCTCAAAGCTCTCACAGAATTCTCCTCTCCAAGGGGACGCTTTGCTCCCCAAGAAACACGTCCCCATGGAGGGAAGCAAACGGTGTGACGCACTCACTGAATAACCAAGTCCCTGGTTCGCAGAGCCTCTCTCACCTGGGTGGGCGGTGCTAGGCAGAGGTGTGTGTACGTGTGTGGGGGGCACAGGTGTGCGTGTGTTTGCATGCATGCACGTACACGTGTGTGTGGGGGCACAGGTATGCATGTGGGGGCCACAGGTGTGTTGGAGGGGCACAGGAACATGCCATATGGCTCCTGCCTGGGCACCTGTACTTCTCCCTGTGTGCCTGAGCAGGGAGAGGACAGATGCTATCCCCACCTTGGTCTGTCAGCCTCCGGCCACTCCTGCCTGGAGCTGGCTGTTCTTCCCGGGAGGGGCTGTGCACCATCCCCGCCTCAGTCGTGGATTCAGCAGAGCTGGAGAGGACACCAGAGTGCTCGCTGCGCTGTCGTCTTGGTTGAGGCAGGCGGCCCCGCCCTCCCCTGAACTCAAGGAGTCGAGCTTCAGTGAGGTTGAGTCACTGCTCACAGGAGCGGGGAAGACCTGAACCCAAGTCTGAAGCACCCGTTCTCTCCTCCCTGACACCTCACTCCCTCCTGCAGACCCCTTTGGGGCCTTCCGGACTTTTGGCTCTTTCTCAAAGGTCACACCTGCCCCCAGGACTGCCGCCGTCCACCGGCTGCTCTGGGACACAGCTCCTGCCACACAACGATCCCCTTGTCCACCCAAATGTCACAAGTACCTCCACACATCCTTGTCACCCCAGCAACCAACACACACAAAAGTAACCCTTTTTCACAATATTGTGTGTTGCTTACTCATTGGGCACATATTTTCTCCAGCTGGGTTTTCAAGTCAACAAACCAAAATGGAAGCAAACACATTGTGAAGATGGTGTGTGACGGGAAGCCTTGGAAAAGGGGAGAAGTGAGTGTGTATGTGTATCCAGGTGTGTGTGTTAACGAGGAGTACGGGTGTGCAGGTGTGAGGCAGCACGTGTGCACTGGGGATGACCTGGCGGCTTACAAACGACATGGAAGGAACAAAGACGAGGTGCCAGCCTGCCTGTCTGTCCACCACACGCCTGCCCAGAAGTCAGCCTCTGCAGTGGGACCTGTATATATCGTGCCTGGGGGGCTCAAACTCAGCTGGTCTGAGTCTACCCATGGCACCTCAGACTTGGACAATCATTTCCTCCTCCACTCCACCATCTTTTAAAATTGTGGTAAAATACATGTTAAAAAGTTGTCACCTGAACTGTTTTCCATGTACAATCTGTTCCACCCTTGCCACCACCCTCCATTTCCACAAGCTCCTCTCACCCCAAACTGAAGCCTAGTACCCCCTCAGCATCACTGCTGCCCCTCCCAGCCTGGGCACCACTATGAAACTCTGGTCTCTATGTATTTGCCTTTTCTAGATGCTTCCAAATGTGGGAGGGGGGAGGTGGCTCAATGTTTGTCCTTTCACGTCTGGCTTCTTTCACTCAGCACTGTGTTTCTAAGGTCATTGCCCTCTCAGTGGGCCACAGGACTTCGTTTCTCTTCAAGGCTGAATAATATTCCGCCACAGGACGGGCAACACACTCCTCCCGTGCCGCTGCTCCTTGTGGGCCATGAAACGATTCCAGAGTCAGACTTTGCGTCAACTGAAGAACGGAAGCTGCATTGTTGGGTTCAGACCCCAGCGGGGGACCCCACACACATCACACAATGTGCCTTTCAGCGTGTCCCCACCCTGCGTGGGCTCCCCATGACTCTGAAGAGGCATCTTTAACAGAAGGTAGGTAATGGGTCTAAGATGTCCCTGTTTCTTTCTCATTTTGCATTCTTTGTAAAGGCTCCCAGCCACACAGACACCCTCCTACTGTACAGGATCGATCTTAATTACTGTCCATGTGGAATTTTTCTGGTGGTTTCTTTCAATGCAAAACACATTAATGAGAAAATTTAAAGGCCTGTTAGCAACATCCTTCCATCAATCAGAGCCCTGTCAGGCCGGCTGGCCCGTCAATTTTCACCTCGCAGGCCGGCATCCACTTCCTACCTTCCTATCCCCATGCTGTGGCCCTTGTCTGAGCAGCCAGGGTGACACAGGCCAGACCTTGCCGTCTGTCAGCAGCTGGAGCCGCGGGGTCCCGCGGATGCTCGCTGGGTGCCGCCTTGTGTTCTCAGGCTCCTCAGAACCGTCCCTGGCTTTTAACTGTTCCCTCCCCATGCCTTCTCTCTCTCACACACACACAGGGGCGGCTGCACCCAATTTAAACCTTGGTGTCCTTCAAACCCGTAACAAGTAAACTTGATGTGAGCTTCAGTTTCTTGAACGTAAACTTTTTATCCAATGCCCATGAACAAGAGAAAGAAACAAAACACCACGCCCGATGGCCTGAAGGACTCTGTGACCCCTGGCAGGACAGTAGCCAATACACAGACCTGACCCTGGGGGCAGGGAGAGCACCTCATGTCCCGATGTCTTCTGGGAAAATCTCTGGAGCAGAGAACCCCAGCAGCTCCCTTCTTGGTCTGGATTCTAGATTAAGCCAATGTAGAAGCCATGGTGGGGTCTTCCTATGTGTTGTCTAAAACCAAACAGCAGCAAGATCCCTGGCAAACTCTAAGGTGGTGGGAATGGTCAACGCTGGGCTGCTAACCGAAAGCCTGGCTGTCCAAGCCCACCCAGTGCCGCTGAAGAAAGGCCTGGTGGTCATCCTCTGAAAGGTGAGCCACCGAACCCAACACATGTGTGGTCGCCACGGGCTGGAGTCTTGACCAGGGCTTTCACAGTGAAATGCACTGTTCACCTGGACTTGACTGTGACATCCTGTTCCAAGGGGGACCAAGGCCACGGCTGCAGAGACCAGCGGGCTAACACCCAAGGCCGCACAGAGGCTGATGGGGGACAGCAGTGATGTTTTCCTAGGCACAGATGAGGGCTTAGAACTGAACCTGTGAGTGTGTTTCTCTGAGTTTTACGTGTCTACGAGCAGAGTCCTAGGAAAACTGCACGGGACCCCGCGGGGCCCCTGCATTTTCAAACAAGCTCTTAGGCAGATTTGGATCCTTCTGATGTGGTGCTAATGGATGTAAGTTCTGAGACAGCACTGCTGTCCACAGAGAGTTTAAGAAACGAGCAAACAGGAAAGATGTTTTAGTATAAAAACATCAGTACTGGACACACTTGTCCACTCAAATGAGGGGATCACCCGGACGACACAGGGAGTGGAAAATGAGGAAGATTTAGAGATGTGCCCTCTAAAGAGACCAAGTTAGAAATGACGATGTCAGCCTCTTGCGGGTTCCCAACCACGGAGGGTTCCAGAGTCAGTGGGTTACAGGAACTTAAAAACCAAAACCAAAACAAAACAAGAAAACCCAAACTCACTGCCATGGAGTCAAGATTCTGACTCACAGCAACCCCTCCTTGGGTTTCTGAGGCGGTATCTCTATGGAAGCACGTTGCCCAACCTTCCTGCTGAACTTAGAACCACAATTCAACCTCCTACCAGGAGAGCTGCCGTCGTCAGGAACAGCCCTGCCGTCGTCAGAAACATCCCTGCCTGCAACCTTGCCACCAGACCCAGTCTTCTGATGTCGCACACGGGAATTCTCCTGTCCCCTAATTCAGGGGAGCGCCCTCACACCCCAAGCTCAGACACGTAGTTGTGTTTTTGCTTCTTTGGGCATAAAGAATTCACACCTGTGTCCTGTCACCTTATCCCTTGACGCTGCCTCAGGAAACGGTGACAGTGGGTGGCTTGACTTTGGGCTTTCAGTCCTGACGGGAAGAGGGGCCTGGCAGAAAACAGCCACCCCAGCCAAAGGCGGTCTGCGCCGTGTCCCCGAGCAGCCGTGCCCCGAGAAGGGCCGTCCCGCAACGACTGTGATTCTGCAGTTTCTGCTGCTGGCCTCCGCAGCAGGGCGACCGCGGCACTTGAGCACCCGAGGCCTCAGCGCCAGGGTCCTGCAGTGGTTCTGTGCGCTGTGGGCTGCAGGGCCGCGGGGGGAGAGGGCCAAGGGCCAGGGCACAGGGCCACACCTCCCTTGTTCTGGGCTGTTTTCATTTGCATATCTGCGTGTCTTTGTGGCCCTCCTTCCTCTTTAGTTTTGTAAATCCTGCTGCGGCCTCTCTCCAGAGTGGCTCCGGTGCCCTGAAGTCCACCCTGTGTCCATGTCTCCGTCTGCAGGGCTCCCCGGGGTCGTGCACGCATGCCCAGTGTCAGGGGCCCACTTTAGGTCTGCTCTTGGAGCTGGGAAGCAGGGACAGAACCAGCACGTGCTTTGCGGGCCTGTGCCCTGGCCTGGCTGGGCATCCCTGCTGACCACCCGGACGGCCTTGGTGGGTCTCGGTGCTGATGCGAGCTGGGAAATGGGCTCCCTGCCTGCTCAGGAGGCTGCTTGGCCACCGGCCCCTCCTCAAGCCTGGCCGTGACCCTGGCCTGCGTCTAGGGGCAGGAGTCTACCAGGCCACTCCTTTGTTTAAGGGCCCAGGCCTCTGGGCCCAGGAGGGTGGCCAGTGTGGGACATGGTAGACATACTCAGAGCCCCTGCCAACCTGTCCCAGCCCCAGAGGTGCCCCTGCAGGGCTGGAACACAGGTCTGGGAATGCCAGAGCCCACAGTGACGCAGGCTGCCTACGATGGGTTCTTGCAGCCACCAGAGCCTGCCCTGCTGCCCACTGCCAAGCCCTCCAGGCAGCAGCAGAGGAGAACAGGGCCTGGCCACGCAGTGTCTCCACACCGGCCAGCTCTGAGCTGCAGTGCCCTCTGTTGGAGACCACAGAGACACAGGCCACACTTCCGGCTGCAGGAGGCCAGAGATGCTGCCTCCAGAACCAGGATCGCCCCTTCTGCTCGGGAGAGAAGACAGAGTGACAGCCGGGGGGACTCTGACTCCTGGAGTAGAGCCCCCTTCTTGAGGAAACTGTGGACGCCCCCTCCCGGCACCCACACGCTGAGAGCCTCCATAAACAGGTGTTCTCTGGCCCTCATGGCAAGCAGACCCGCTGAGCAGGGCTGGCTGGGAGTCCCCTTGGACTGTGCACACTCCCTGCCCAGGGTCACGTACAGTGCCTGTCTGTGTGTGACCAACCCTGCGTCAACACAACCATGGGGAACGACCAGACCCAGGAGACCACAGGGCAGATTCTGCCCGTCTCGTTCTGAGGGGAAGAAAAGCCTTCACCTGGCTGCTGTCAGAAAAGACACTGTAAGCTGTAAATTAGAGAGAGATAGGCTTGGAGCTTGTTCCATCAGGTGCCTGTCCCTTACTTGGTGACAGGAAGAAAAAAATACACCCAGCCCCTCCACTAGAAGGCCGCATTTTATCCTGGGTTTCTGGTGACATATACCAACCACTTGAGCTCCCCTGCTGTGGTCTGCACTGTCACCAGGTACCCCTGATAAGAATACGGTGTTCCACGGTACAGTGGGGTCCATCACAGCTCTGTGGTACTTATGCCCACTCACAGCTACAGGGCGCCTATCGCTTTTTGGATATGTCTAATTACAAGGTTAAAGTGACCATAAGATGATGAAGTGTCATACTGTAGTGGCAGCTGATGTTGGAAATGCCACCAGCAATGTGCACTAACCCTCCTTCATGCCATGCCCAACACTGGGGTGCCGGGGCCCTGCCCACCTAGGGTCCTTGGGGCTTAGGGTCAGGCGCCAAAGTCCACCTCTGGCAGGAGAGTCTGCGTTTCTCCCACCTGCAGCCCGGAGTAGTCACACCAAGGAGAGAGGCTGGGTTTGGGTGAGGCTTTGTCACGTGAGGCCACCCAGGCCACCAGCCCCCAACCCAAAGGTGACTTCTAAATCATTGTGGCCAAGAGCTAAGGTCCATTCAAAGACACAAACCAAAAAGGGACTGGTGCTGCATTAGCTTTTTGTTGTGTGTGTTGTCAAGTGAGCTCTGGTGGTGCACTTCCTAAGGCATGTGACTGCTAACCAGAGGGCTGGCGATTCAAACCCACCAGGCACTCCTCGAAAGGAAGGTTGGGCAATCTACTTCCATAGTGATACTGCCTCGGAAACCCACGGAGGGGTCGCTATGAGTTGGATTCGACTTGACGGCAGTGAGTTTGGGTTTGGGTTTTGGTGTTGTCAAGATGAGCTCCACTCACAGCGCCCCTAGAGGACAGAGTGGAACTGCCCCACAGGGTCTCCAAGGCTGTCAGTCTTCACGGAAGCAAAGCCCAAACCACACCCACTGCTAATTGATTTCAACTCACAGAGCCCCTAGAGGACAGAGTAGGACTGTCCCATAGGATTCCTAAGGCTGTCATCTTACGGAAGCAGGTCACCAGGTCCTTGTATCATGGAATTGCCAGGGGTGGGGCTGGAACCACAAACCTTTGGGTTAGAGTCCCAGCGCTTAACTGCTGTGCCACCAGGTTTTCTAGCCTTAAGCACCTCTCCCTGATACGTTGTGTGGCGTGTAGGGTCCCCGACAGTCATAAGTCTAACATGCCACCTCAGCAGCTTCCACAACTGAGAGGAAGGGTGATGAGGGGCCCCGGGGCAGGTGGGTGTCTAGTCTGGACCCACACAGGGCACTGGGACAGGTCCCAGCCAGGGCTCTTGCTCTGAGCAGTGGTCACATCCGAGTGGCCACTCACTGTCCCTGAGACCCAGACGCTCCCTCCTCACAGGAACCCGACATCTGCCAGGCCTCCCTGTCAAATGGGCACTGTAGGCAGAACAACACAGCATTAGAGATGTCAAACCAAGGCACCAGACCAGCTGTGTTCCTAGGACACTCGGCTCATTTAATGCAGTGGGGCCACTGTGCTCCTGTACTGACACGGGGCCGTGTCCAGGTCACTCAGACATTCACTCCCACGGCGCATACTTCACTTCGGCTGGTGCCTCCTGGTGTCTGGTGCCTGGATCCACCTGTGCCCTTCCCAGGGCAGCCCCTGGCTGGCCACCCTCATGGGCCAGCAGCCACCGCTTCACGGCCAGCCCTCCAGAGTAGCCACCCACGGTGCCACCGCTGCCAATCACTCTGTGGCACGGGATGAGGATGGGGACCTGAAAGACACACAGAGGAGGCTGCCATTACTCTGGGCTCAGGGACCTGGGGTCTGAGGGGGTAGAGCAGGGCCCCAGAGCATGACTGCCCAGGCAGGGCTCATGCCGCAGGGTAGGCTGTGGGCACGGGGAGAGCTGGGTACACACCACAGGGTCTCTGTGTCTCGGAAGCACTCCGCCTACGCGTACAACTTGGAGTGTCTTTGCATGGGCTAGGGGAGAGCCAGGAGTTCCAGGAAAACGTGTGGAACCTTCTAGAGAATCCATTTTACCCCAAGGTTGGGGGGGGGCACACCTTCATTTCATTTGGCAAGTAATTTAAAATTTACACTTACAAAATCTAAAATTGCATTTCTAAGTTATGGGGCAGTATATAAAATTCCCAAACACTTAACTGGAAGCTGTGGATGGATCCTTTGGAGAACGACTGAGTAACCTGAGTAGCTGGAGGTTACTCAGCAACCTACAGCCAGCACCGCCTCAGTTTGTAAATGAAGTTTTAATGGAACATGGCCACACCCATTTGTTTACATATTGTCTGTCTGCTTTCCATCCACTAGTGGAGTTGAGTTCGGAGCTCTGGTAGCATAGTGCCTAAGGCACTTGACTGCTAACCAGGAGGCTGGTGGTTCAAACCCACCAGCCACTCCTCGGAAGGAAGGTTGGGCAATCCTACTTCCATAGTGAAACTGCCTCGGAAACCCAAGGAGAGGTCGCTAGGAGTTGGGGCTGACTCGATGGCAAATAACAACAACAACAAGTGGAGTTGAAACAGACCATGTGGTCCACAAAGCCTGAAATACTACGTAGCTGTCATCGGTTGGTTCAGATCACAAGAGGGAAAGACAGGGTGATTCTTATCCCTTATAGCCCTTACCAACAGTGATGTAGCGGTTCTTGCCCCTTGGGTGGCTGAGGGTGCACCCCACGTCAGGAAGATTCAATACCAGGGCTGCCAACTCAGAGCGTGCACCACGTGGCCCCATTACAGGGATCTGGGGGTTCAGTGGCTGTTCTGGGTTAATGACCCCAATGAGTGGTTACTCAAAACCTGGACAAGCTGCTCTCTGGAGAGATTTCCCAAGAGGGATGTCTGGTGACCTTTTCCTAAGGACACCTGCTGCATCTCCCCAGGGAAAGTTCTCCTTTTCAAGCAGCTCCCAATTCCCCTGAAGGCCATGGCAGGCGGGCTAACACACGTCATCATGGTGCAAAGTGTCCCAAGTGGCTGCTCCGTGAAGGACATCCACATATCGCCTGCAGGTACAGGAGGGGCCTGGGAAGCAGATGGGGTCCGGGGGGGGGCAGAGTGAGCGTCAGGGCCTGGAGCCCCCCTGCCCTCATCCCACCCAGAACACCGCACTCATGGAAGCTAGCAGGAGCGTGCTTCCCCTCTCTGGTCCCTCGTGTCTCTGTCCTCCAGGCCGGGCCCTGACACCCTGTGCCCATTTCTGGGCAAGCAGACGCCATGGCTACCGCTTGCACTGCTCCACTTCCTGCCTTCCTGTCTCCTGTGTCCCTCCACTCCTGCTGCTGCTCTGCAGAGAGCTCTTCGCCCTGTGTCCTTCCCTTCGGGGAAAATAGGCCAGGTGAAAGGGCAGAGAACATGTGTTGGGTGCACCAGGCACTCCCTGGCTCCAACCTGCGCCCTGTGCCTGGGGCCGCTGAGAACAGCCGTCACCTACCGGCACTCTTCTACTTAGCTTGCCCTCAGAATTCCCTGGCTGGTGCACCTCCTCAGAGGATGGGCGAGTATGACCTCAGGCCCACCACTGCATGATGGATGTCGCTGGTGGAGGCTCATCCATGCCCGGCCCTGCAAAATGCATCATTCCCTCACCCATGCCATCCTCCAGCGCCCCACAGGCAAAGTGCTGTCAATCTCATGTCAAGTAAATCTCACCTCCGAGTTCACACAGCGGTTAAGGGTCAAGAAAGGGATTCTGAGCCAGACTGCAATGACTACTCTCTAAAACCATGCCAGGTACTGGTAACACCTTTTCCTTAAAGTGGAATCTTTAAGGTGGAACTTGTGGGACTCTGTCAGTGTTAGCATTTAATTTGGCTTAGGAGGTGGAAATCTGACTTCCCTCACATGACAAAGCTTTGACTAAAAGGCTCACTGTGATAATGTATGCAAATATATCCAAGGAGTGTTCTAATGAGTGTCAACGTGATGATGGTGATGATGGATGGTGGTGAGGATGGTGATGCATGTGGTGATGATGATGGTGATGATGGTGATGGTGTTGACAGTGGTGATGGTGGTAATGATGGTGATGATGATGATAGTGATGGTGGTAATGATGGTGTTGACAGTGGTGATGGTGATGGTGGTAATAATGGTGATGGTGGTAATGACGGTGATGGTATTGACAGTGGTGATGGTGACGCTGATGATGATGATAGTCATGGTGGTAATGATGGTGGTGGTTGTGGTGATGATGGTAACAATGGTGACAGTGATGATGATGATGATAGTGATGGTGCTGGTTGTGGTGAAGGTGGTAATAATGGTGATGGTGGTAATGATGGTGACAGTGATGATGATGATGATGATGATAGTGATGGTGGTTGTGCTGCTGATGATGGTGAGGATGAGAATGATGATGACAGTGATAACGATGGTGACAGTGATGGTGATGATGATGGTGGTGGTGGTGATGATGGTGAGGATGATGGTGAGGATGATGGTGAGGATGAGAATAGAGAACTGATGGTTCCTTTTCACTGTTGACTTTTCAAAATAATAATATCAACAAATTCTGCAAACATATGATGCCAATTTTCTTAGAAGTAACAGAAAATATTAAGAATGGAATATTTACTCTGCTGATTGTTATCAAGTACAAAGTCATATTAATAATTGAATAATTTCAGTGAGGACACTGTTCAACATTACAGAACTGAAGCTTTTGATTGATAAAGAGGTTGATATTTAATTCAACCGTTTCATAAACATTTATGCACCAATTCAATTTTCCTATGTAGCTGCAGATTTTACAACTGATCTTTGATTTTCTCCCCCTTCTCCCTCTGCAAAGCTGTACATTTAAAAAGTGAGTAATATGAACATATTTATCACCTTGAATCATTGTGTGTGTACACACACACACACACACACACACTCGCATGTTGTCATTAGGTGCCACTGAGGTGCCACCCTTACAATTGTTGCTATGCTCAAGCCCATCAGCACAGCCACTGTGTCAATCCATTTCACTGACAGTCCTCCTCATTTTCTGTTGACCCTCTACTTTACTCAGCATGCTGTCCTTTTCTAGGGACTGGTGCCTCCTGATAACACATCCAAAGTATGAGACAAAGTCTCATCATCTTCTCTAACCAGGAGCACTCTGGCTGTAGTTCTTCCCAGATGGATTTATCATTCTTCTGGCAGTCTGTGGTATGCTCAATATTCTTCTTAAAAACATAATTCTAACGCATCAGTTCTTACTATCATTGTCCAGGCTTCTTACGCATGAGGCAACTGAAAATATCATGGATTGGGTCAGGCACACCTCAGTCCTCAAAGTGACATCTTTGCCTTTTAACACTTTGAAGAGGTCTTTTATAGCATATTTGCCCAACTCAATACATCATTTGATTTCTTGACTGCTGCTTCCATGGGCATTGAATGTGGATCTTAATAAAATGAAATCCTTGACAACTTCAATCTTTTCTCCATTTATCATGATGTTGCTTACTGGTCCAGTCATGAGGATTTTTGTTTTCTTTATGAGGAGTAATCCATACTGAAGTCTGTGGTCTTTGATAGTCATCAGTAAGGGCTTCAAGTCCTCTTTTTCAGCAAGCAAGGTTGTGTCATGTGCACGTCGCAGGCTGTTGATGAGTCTTCCTCCAATCCTGATGCCCTGTGCTTCTTCATACAGTCCAGCTTCTTGGACACACACACGCACATTTACTTCTACTTATCCATGTGGACGATATGACTGATGGCATAGGATAACAATTATAATGACAATGACAGCTACAACCAGTGTGACCAGTCTTCATCTTATGTATGCAGTGGTGGACAATGACTGATTCTTATCAAACATACCTGATTTTCACCATGAAAAATGGGGACTATTGCTTCTGTTGGTGTTAATCTCCATGGCAGGTTTCAGACTATTAAAATAATGAAACCTGCTGGAATTGACTGGGGCCCACAGGATATTTCCGAAGGCAGGGTATTACCATGCCCTCTTCTTTAAAGCCCGAGCAGCATAAGAAGTAAATTTATCAATAACCAAGGAGCTCATCATATCACAGCTCCATTGAAATCTTCACGCTGTGAAATCTAATCCATCCGATACGAGAATGCATCACTCACACTGGCCCTTTCTCAAATGCTATCAAACTTCCAAACCCACAGATTTGTCTCTAACAAAAATAACACGAAGGGGCCTTTCAATCAATACTGGAACCCCTCTGATCCTGGTACCGGCTGCATATTTTCCCTGCTCTGCCTTTGTTCTTCTGGGTAGCAACCCACAAGGGAAAGGCCTTGTTTCCACTCGCAGCCTCATCAATACCTAAATCCTGGTGAACAAGTGACACTGAGAAGCTGTAATCAATAGTTCCCTGTGCGTTTTTTCTTCTGGTCAAGTGGTTCAGTGCCACTGACAGGCCTGACACTTAGAACATGATACTAAATCTTTATCAACAGCCATCCTGGTGACTGACGGGACAGGACTCGGGGGTCATTAGCACTCATGGTGATCTGTGAATAAACTAACTCCTCAGGAAAGTGCTTGTTTAGAAAAAGGTGGGAAACGCTCGCACACAGTATTGATTGCCTTTGAACTGCATTTAGTGAATTCTGACCGAGGAGGAAGTGGGAGGGTGTTTTGTGCTGGGCAAGGCTGGTGGAAGCATTTTGTCTGATGTGTGAGAAACAGACCACACACTCAAGCTGGGTGGTGGGAGAGCCTTCCAGAAGGCTGCTGTCCCCTTCCACGGCAGCATGTCCTTCAAGGAGCACTGGGGAAAAATCA